GAGCTGAGGTTGTGCTGGAGCTAAAAGTACCTCTTTACCCATCTAGGGGTACTTTAGATTAATAGAATAGAATAGAACAGACTTACTTGTCATTACACAGTCATGTGCAACAACATTAGTATGCTCTTGACCAAAACAGAGTGCAGTAAAGACCATCAAACAAAAAGGTATAAAAACAGTTACTAGACAGTGAACACAAGGTGCAGTGTTAAGTGACAAACAAAACAAAACAAAAAGCTAACTGAACTTACTATGTAATATTTAAAGTAACGGATATAGAGATGACGGATCTCCATAACCATGTGCATGTAGACACAATGTGCTGGGTTTCCATCATTGACGTGAGATCGACTGATAGCTTCACCAGTGAAGACGTCTCACTCTGTTGGAACGACAGAGAAGCCCTCAGTCCACTGTAATTATTCAGTGGTGTTACAGAGTGATGCCTCTCCGCTCTATAAACGATCTTCGGCTAGCAGCCGACAGCGTGTTGTCCTTCTGTCCGCCGGCTGTAGTGAGGCCACATTTCATTTTCATTGATTTAAGTCATGGAGTTCACGTCAGTTGGCGACAGCTGGTGTGACCTCGCTGGATGTCATTTTAACCAGAAACAGCGACGATCAGCGGAAGCTGCGACCAGAACGAGTTCCACAAACGGAGCTTTGCTGACAAGATTGTAGGTCTTACGCAACTTTTTTGTGGCGGGGACGGGGTCTCGAATATTAGAATACTAACATTGAAAAGTGAGCCCTAAGACTGATAAAGACAAAGACCTACTCTTACAGTCAGGTGACTGAGATATTGCGATTAAAGGAACGGCATGCATTGTATGCAATGTTTATACTCTCAATGTGGAAAACCACGTTTGGTGACACGACCGCAAACTTTAAACACGAAACACTCGTAATAGACAACAACAGTATTAAGTACATACTGTGCAGGGACAGGTGCACGGATAGCATGGCCTCTGCCAGCAAGAACCTACTGATGGGTCTGCAGGAGAGGCTGAAATGACAATAAAAGTACAGCATACAGCATCACACTGTCACACACCTGTCAACCTTACTCAGATCAGTAGTGATACCACAGTGTGAGAATACTCTGCTACATGTAGCACACAATACGATCCCATGTCGATTCTCTTTGCCAGCGATCTGATGTTTGCTGATACTTAAAAATATGCCATATGTGATTTCATTAGTCATCACCCACTGTAAAGCTGCCGAATAGGGGAGGCTGGAAATGTCTGAAACCACCATAAAATGTATTCAAAACCCATTAAAGATTAAAAAATGTTTCTAGCTGAAAGTTACTGAAGTAGTTAAGTGGAAAAAACAAAAGAAATGCGAACAGTAAAGAACTGGATCTCAGGAGTGTGGATGGTGTTGAACAGCATTCACACAATAAAAATAAAATACTCCGGAACATATCCGGATTACTGGTGCAACAATGCCAGCAAGGTGAACTTTGGAAAACCACCGTTCTCAAATAAAAACTGACTTAAATAAAGGCAATCTCTAATAACTAATTTTATATCATTAAGTAGGTGTTTAAAACAAGAACAGTTTCATAATAATGAGCTGAATTTTAAAAACACGTTTGATCATTTTACAATTTCATGGTCATCTTGCCAAACTGATTCTTTCATTCAGTTGTCTTATTCATTAAACTGTGAGAATTTTAGAGTTCTATAAAAGCGTAGCTTTCTCTGTGACACTGGCTCATGATCCAGTTTTGGTGTTAGTACGAGCCCAGACCAGTGCGCGCAACCCACTGTGCGTCTGTTTCTCCTTACGCAGAACCGACCGTATTCCTGACACTGAACTGAAAACACCGATTTGAAGCCCAACGGAAACTCCGGGTAACACTCTTATAACGGGAGGGGAACAATCCGAAGGGAGAACACACTTCGACACAAGACCACACACTTTCGTCGAAGTTTTAAACTTCTTAACCTCATGTCAACAAAGTTTTACCTTTTTACAGAGCTTCTGTCGTTAACTTTCTCGGCCTTTCAGCTCGGCGAAACATCCTTTGCTGTTATTTGTGTCATTTCCTGCAGTACCGAAGCGACTCTGGTTGCGCAAAACCTCCCTCTGCGATCAATCGGTCAATCGTATACCTCGGAAATGGCCTTAATCCTTTCTCCGGGAACAACGCTCGTTTGTGGCTACAAAGCCTCCGTCCTTCCTCACAAACTTCATGTTTAACCAATAAGATGGGAAGTAGTAGCTACAAGAGGAGTGGCAGGAAGCTCCC